TTGGCAATGAGTGTAAAGTTTCTTGCTCAAGGAAACAACGACTTGCCTCTGACGGGATTTGAACCAATGCGGCTAGCGATCATAAGGTTACTAGTCTGACGAGTTTACCACTCGACCAAGCCGCCACTGAACAAGTACTTGGAGTACTTGTTTTCTATTAAATTTTAAAACAAGTTGAAAGGTGGATAATCCTGAAATACGTCTTTTTTATTATTTCTCTTGATTTTTTTCTAAAATAGAGTTAAAAGGTAGTCATTTCAAACTTGTGTGAAATATTTGTTGAACAAGGGCAGAAAATCTGATAAGCGTGTTTGCAGAGTTATGTTCCCTATTCTATTTTGCTTTTACTTTACTTTATTTCATGCTTTCAACGTTTAACTGTAATATATCAGATAATTATATTCTGATAATCACTAGATCTAGTGAAATTTATAAAATATAATTTTCAATGTAGCCAGACTAGATTTCTATTTCTTGAATATCATACAGCTAGGATTATTTACCGTATCGGCGGTGCTAGAAAAACCTGTCTTACACCCTCCGCTTTAAATGACGTCATTGCCGCGCGCCTTTTATGAATGCATAGCGTTTTAAGGACGACGTCATTTTACCGTTATGAAATGAAGTTTGTAAGTTTATACGCTACTACATGTATAAGAAAAAAGTATGTCATGAAAATATCAGTTTTCTTAATTTCTGTTCCAAAAAAAAATGACATTTAATATGCAAGAAAAAAAAACACTGGCCGTCGGTACAGACGGGAATGTCTAGCTCTCAGGTAACTGTTTAGCGGAAGCTCGGCATAGCCTCGTTACCGCCGTAAACAGTTACCCTCGAGCTAGATATTCCGCAAACTCCTCACAATGATTACCTCCCTTGGCAAAATTGTAATCTCTATTGATAAGGGGAGATCACTGCTTATGAGGTCTGTACCGGCAGCCAACTGCGGATGAAAATGATATTATAACTTAATTAAATAATAGGCAATAATAAATGCCGTCATACGTAAATGTTGCTTCTTTAAGAAAAGAAAGTCGATTTCATCAAAGAATCTACATCATGTTAACATGTTAAAAAATTAGAGAAATTTAACAGAACTATATTTCAAAATTGATGATGTGACGTCATGATGTGGTAACGTCATATAGGAGAATGTGAAACGTTACTCGGCAGTAGAAAATACTTAAAATCACTTATAAAGCATGAAATAAAAAGAAGCAAAAATATTTGTTTTAGAAATAAGATTGATCAAAATTTCATTTGTGAACATCAGCTATTATATTTTACTCGTGTCAACGCCACTAGTGAAAATATTGGTGTCCATCTGGTGTTCACTCAGTGAAATAAATTTCAACAATCAAATATCCTCTATCACTGAGAAAAATAAAGCACGCTGTTGGTGTGTTTTTGTTGTTTTTTTATCTCTATTATTGTTAGTCAGGGACGTAACCAATTTTTGGTGTTGGAAGTTTATAATGGTTATTTTCAAACAGTTTTTGTTAACGTTATCGAGTAGCGTGTACCTTAAATTTTGGAAGATCTTGAACAGCAATGTTAAAAGTCGCGTCGCCTCTTAATGTCGCACCTGAATTTAAATGATGCAAGGTTGACACTTAATGTCGCAATAACGCTAAATGTCGCTATAACCCTAATGGTAAACATCGCACTTTCACACAAACAGTCTTGACTGACCGTAAGACACATCTAATTGACACTATAAGGAATTGTAAAATTGACAACATAGGACAGTTATATGTCTTTAAGGATTCCACAATGCAAAGTTTAAGTTAACTGTTTATGAGTTATGACTAAAACTTTGCTTTTAGAAGGGCTGTTTTTCAGAAAAGAGGAAACTCTAAGATAATCTGTAACATATAATCATTATGAAAAATGTTTTCCTATTGATCATTATTAAGAAACAAATAATAGCATTCAGGTAACAAATCACACAAGCAAAATGATTGTTTGTACACAAAATGTTTGAAATATGTATAAAAATGTGTCCCCACCCACTTTAAACTTTAAAAGTCTAAATATACCTAAAATTTACAACAATGAGGGTCCGTTTTCAAAGTTAGTCTAAATGTTCTGAAATGTATTTTGGTTGATCTTCCAAAATATAAAATACTTTATTTATTTTTTATTCTATTATACTTTGAAAATATCAGGTACCATATTTGCTATTAAATTTGGCATTATTTAGCCAATAAATACCTACAATAATAATATAATAAAAATCAAACAATTTACTTCCCAAAGGAGATCTGAGAGATACATGAATAATGTTAAAAGAATAAAAAATAAAGAAAAAAATTGCCCCTTCTGGGGTTTAAACTCATGTCCCACAGTTTTAATGCAATTGACAGTAATTCTAGCCAATTTGAATACCAACTGTCTGTTTCAAACTTTGTTATTTGCTCTATCAACGTAAAATATCGTGATCGCCTCTAAATGTCACAAGGATGGCTATAAATGTCACAGTCGCCTTGATGGTAATATTGACTTTCAGCGCTGAATGTCACACATAAAAATTCAGGACCGTTAAATGTCGCAATGTTAACGCTAAATGTCAGTTGTTTTTTTTTTTTTATAAATATTTCTCTCCTGTAAAAGTTAATTACTCCAAATTAAAGACTACTGTGACGTCATGCTATCATCATTATGATAAGCTACACGTCATCGTGCTAGTAGCTTTCGGTGTATTCACTCCTGATAAATGCTTATGTTTATGTACGAAAACTGTTCTGAAACTAAACATCATTTTCATTACAATACAACGCTCACTCTGTCTTAAGCTGATATGTTGCTCATTGAAAACACTGTTTTCAAGTTGCTAACAGAATTTTGCTAATTTGTAAACACTTTTGTTGTTACAGTATATGGTGCAAACTAACAATAAATGAAATAAATTTGGTTACACAAAAATTCTGGTCAGTGCAGGCCCTGTAATGTTTTTCCTACATCATCATCATCATCGTCATCATCATCATTATCTTCGACATTATCACAATCATCCATAATCAGCAGGAGCAGCAGCGACATCCTCATCATGATCATATTCATCTATGTGCACATGTGACATTTCATGATTTTGTTTAACGATTATAAGGGGTTACCTTTTAGTGCTACCTGTCTAATTTATGGTGGCTGATTTGAGCCATTCGTGTTTTTCCTTGCCACCCTGAGTCCCTGACAATCGAAAAGTCGAATATTAACAAGTTATAATGGCCAGGGCGCGGAGCGAAAACACGCTAATTAGCAGGGACGCGGTTGACGTTTCATTTATTAAACTAATTAGCTAATAAGCGCACCCCCGCCGTTCTATACACCTCGTTTCGCGCCCCTGCTAATGAGCTTGGTTTCGCTGCGAGCCCCGCCGTTTAATTTTTGCATCTCGCTCCGCGCCACTGCGGGGCGACGATTTATTTATTAATTCATTGATTTGTATTATAAACGTGCTAAACTAATTTTTAGTAAAAATACATGTATCTATAAAAGCAAATGATCATTCATGATAAATAATATCATCGCCTTATTTGTTGAGCTTCTGGTCTTCATGTATTTATAAAAAACGGAGTCTGAAAATTAGGCTATCATATTTAAAAAATGTTATTTAAACTCGCATAAAAGCATAAATAAAAAGAAAATTTGTTGTGAGTATATTTTGTTGAAATACTGATTTCGAAGCTCACTCATAAATAAAATTGCATCTTACACAAAAACATATATCTTCTATATTTTGACATTTTTCAAGCTATCATCACTTCAATCATTAATAATAAATTATAAGTGTGCACTGTACTCTTTTTTCAAAAGATAATATTAATGCACCATATTATTTGCATTACTTTAACCATTTATTCGAGGCAATGGTCTTTTGCAAAAGAGGTAATTTGTATGTAATTTGTAGCATATGCATATTTGGCCGTCCATTTTTTATTTTAATAGTGGCGTATGGTAAAAAGTGCCTTGAACCAATCAAACCTGCTTTGAGCATTTACTAAAAAACGTTATTTAGTCTCTCTATTTTCACGTAAATAAACATAATTCGGATGGCTATAGCTTCGGACAAAAAACATAAATGTCTTTTGTTTTACATTCATATGTGTAATAAAACATGCAATATGTTAAAGCACATGTTTATGGTAACTGTTATCATACAGCACATGTTTAAGGTAACTGTTATCATACAGCACACGTTTATGGTAACTGTTATCATACAGCACACGTTTATGGTAACTGTTATCATACAGCACATGTTTATGGTAACTGTTATCATACAGCACACGTTTATGGTAACTGTTATCATAGAGCACACGTTTATGGTAACTGTTATCATACAGCACACGTTTATGGTAACTGTTATCAAACAGCACACGTTTATGGTAACTGTTATCATACAGCACACGTTTATGGTAACTGTTATCATACAGCACACATTTATGGTAACTGTTTTCATACAGCACACGTTTATGGTAACAGTATCATACAGCACATGTTTATGGAAACTGTATCATACAGCACATGTTTATGGTAACTGTATCATACAGCACATGTTTATGGTAACTGTTATCATACAGCACACGTTTATGGTAACTGTTATCATACAGCACACGTTTATGGTAACTGTATCATACAGCACATGATTATGGAAACTGTATCATACAGCACACGTTTATGGTAACTGTATCATACAGCACATGTTTATGGTAACTGTTATCATACAGCACACGTTTATGGTAACTGTATCATACAGCACATGATTATGGTAACTGTTATCATACAGCACACGTTTATGGTAACTGTATCATACAGCACATGTTTATGGTAACTGTATCATACAGCACATGTTTATGGTAACTGTATCATACAGCACATTTTAGTGGCTACTTCTATTTTACAGCACATATTCAATTACAATGGTTCAAGTCTTGGAAAGTAGGTATCAAAATTCTTATAACTGATTTGATTAAATTGTTAATGTTTCAATTATTCTTCAGATGAAACAAGGCAGGACAGACAGAAGAAAGGAAACATTTTTCAGAGGTTTTTTGAGAGGAGACGTTATAACCGGATGAAAACAAGTAAATTTTTACTTAAATAAGCTATGCATGTGACTTTCCAGAATTTTAAAA